ACGTGTGACGGAGTCGAGGTCGGAAAAGCAGAACATTTCCATTTCCTTCCGACTCTATTTAACTCCGTCGTTTACAAGCAAGTGAAAACCAGATTGTCGGAGTCGGAAGCAGAAGCTAAGCTGAGCCGGGATACAGATCGTAAGCTACGAAGTCATTTGATGAATCAAAGAGCTTTTTTTTGCTAGATATCGCTCTACGCTCTTACTCTTTGCTTACGATTCCAACTCCGTCACAAACACACCAAGAGCAAAATACTACAACAACACTTTTTAACCTGAAGCAGTCGCCGTATCGAATTGGCGGAGAGCAGCAGATTCAACAACATACCCTAGCACTAGGGACGAGGTTGCGTTGTTAAGTTTGGTAGACTGATTAAGAAAATGGCGGAGAATTTCACACGTTTTGTGAAGAAATAGCCGAATGACTGACTAAAAACAGGGCAAGAACAGCAAACTACAACTCACGAATGATAACTACCATTTGAAGAATATCTGCCAGTCTAGACACATCCCTTTATATCCCTTTATATGCCGCGGAACGGGCAAATGAGGACTTTTCGGGAACGTAACATCGTTCGAGGTGAGCAAGAAGGCTTGTTTGTTAACTACAACTATTTTTTATGAAATAATTCTTGGATTCGGCTTTCGTGTGATCTAAGGAGTTTAATGAAGATCGAAGAGAGGACAACACCCTCCGCGTTGCTTTAGTGAAGAGAGAGTCTGCAGAATGCCATGTTTTGGCCAGAAAGATTTGCGAGATTAATATGGCGAGCTACTGGTCTCGATGCGTTTTTCGTTTCTTTCAACATATCAAAGAATTTAAAGAAAATTACGAGCTACCCTGCGAGCAGGTTTTTAGCATTTGTAAAATCGTTATTCGCGCCTTGGCTTGTCAGTCACGTCTTGTTGCAAAAAGCCAAGCCAGAAAGAAACCTTTGTTAGCAGGGTAATAACGAGCGCAAATACAGTCGTAAAATACCAGCAGGGACATGGCTCTCTCCTCAATCTGCGAAACGACTGGTTATGAAATTCGCTGACCGTGTACAACGGCACCCCATTGGAGAGACTACAGTTAAAGATCAAGGGTGGAAACCTAGTGGAAACCGACGATCAAGGGCACCCAACGTCAATTTTTGGAAAATTTCTTGCTTGTCTGCCTCTCCTAGGATTTTCGAACATCTAAAAAATGGTATAATTGCCCATTTTAAACGGATTTTTACCCTAAAAATGTCACCTAGAATTTTCAGGAGCATCAGCAGTGAAAAGCTGATACTTTATCTGTTGCCTGTATGTTGAATAGCATACAAAACGTTAAGTTTATAAAAATGCGAAAACTCACAATGTTTATCACCGCTGTTGGTGTTTTATTTTTGATCAAACATATCTAAACTTTTTAATATTCTCCCTCTAAATGAGGCTGATGAACGGTTTTGTTACCTCTCTACTCTTCCGTTTGCGGCTCGCTCATGATCACTTCCGTCGCCAGCTGTTTCGTGGGTGGAAGCTCGATAATTGGATCACGATTATTCTTTGCTTTTTCCTCCAAATTATTCATTATTCATTTTTAATTTTTCCGTGATATTCATTATTCAATTTATAGTTTTTATATCAGTTTTCCTTTTCAAATCCCCTTTCTGTAAATTATAAAACTAAAGAAGTTACAACTGTGATACTAACTATAAAGTAAGTTTTGACTGTATCACAAAGGAAGAGAATCGTACTGCAAAAACGAGGTGGAAACCTTGAGATTAAACAATGTTAATGGAAATTATTTTAAGCGAAATGTTCTACAATTCTACATTTTTGTTATTACAATCTTACATTTCAGTATACATCCAGCCTTATCTTTAGCACTGAAGTACCTTTCTATTTTTTCTATACAAGTGGTCAAGATAATGTTGTCCTTTTTCGATCAACAGATCCGGTCTACGCAATTACTAGAACGTGAAGGACCTAACAGCAGCAGCTTGGTAACCTTAAGTACTAAAAAACATTAACTACAGTCGAAGCTCTACTAACGACAACTCTCGTAAACGACCAGCTCCAATTTTCTAATCGAATTGAGTTCAAACTGTTTTTTGTAAGTTACCGCAATTCATGACATTTCTATACAAATTAAACAGCGCTCGCGTACTAGGTAAAATCTTTGCTCGTTGGCACTTAGCGATAACTATAACTAGTTTATTTTGTTTTTTCTTTAAGGATTATTAATGGGTTTCTGAAGCTCTCGTAAGCGACCACTCTTGTTTTACCATGCATACGGTCGCTTTCAAGAACTTATTCTCTTAAGCGACCAGCTCTAGTCACGATCACTTTTTAGAATTTCCGAGGTGGGCGCTTACAAGAGCTTTGACTGTAACAAATAAACTATGACTCAAACGAACACTAAATTCTGTACAATAAATCCGTACGTAATAGACTTGGCTCCAAGTCGGGCAGGATAAGCTGCTTGCTTGTAGGGGACCTGCTATACTGCACCACCTACCAAGTTACTACTCTGTCGGATTTTATGAGGGTCTCAATGGGGTGGTGGCTTTTGCGGTTATCGGCTAAAATTTTGGCTCTTTTACGGCTATCGGGTAATTTTTTTTCAGTTACGGTTAACAAAAAAGGTAAAAAAATCAATTTCTTTTGTTTCAAAGAGTTAAATATTAAAAAAACTGATTTTTTTCTATCTTCAAAAGAAAAATAAAGGTCTTAGGATCATCTCGGGATGAAATAAGTTCAGTATTCTTTTGAAAAATTTTGACATTTGATAGATCATACTTTTTTATAAAGTATTTGACTTCTATTGTTATTATACGCATAGAAATGTCAATAGAACAATCCCGCCTGACTTTATCCGTCAATTCTGACGGACAGTTTAAAGCGAAGGACTGTGCAGAACGACTGTCTGCCGTTGCCTTGTCCATAGGCCTCATTATTCCGCGCGGCTAATGCTTTTCGGGTCACGTGTAGTCCGAGCGAGTTTTTTTCTCAGATACGCCACCGAAATGCCTTGACCGAGATTGCGTGGGAAGACGCCGTATAGCTGGTACAGGGACTAGGCATGGCAATGTCTACCTTAGCGTCAGAGAAAAACAGGGAATTGTTACAAGGAATTATTGATTATCGGCAATGTGTTTTACAAACAGTGACATCTCTGCGTGTTGTTTCACTAGTATTTCGAGGCACGCCTCCTGAAAATCACAAATATTAATCCCCTGTAAGAAGCCAGATTTTCGCTGTGGAAAAAACTTGGTTCTTCGATAGAACGGCGGAAATGGAGCATAGGTCCTGGTCAACACCTAAAAGGCGCTTGGCCTAACGTGCGTACGGAGTCAAAGTAGCCGGGAAATAAAAAACGTAACCATAAGTGAGTTCCCTTCCTTAAAATATCTAAGGAACAATTTCTTTTACGGTTAACTTTTTTTTACCTTATTTACGGCTAACGGTTAAAACTTTTCAATTTTTACGGCTATCGACTAACTTTTTGGCCTTTTTACGCCTGTCGGTTAACCCCATTAAGACCCTCATTTTATGAGTTATTCATTATTCCCAGGCTAGACAGTGTTATTCATAATTCCGGATTTTCTAACTCCAAATATTCATTATTCATTTTCTTTTAAACATTATTCATTATTAACCTTACACCCCTGGAAGCTGTTGCTGTTCAAATCGAATTTGTCACGTCCCTGTCACATGGTATACCCTAGACTTTATTTATACGCCGGCATCCCAAGCTCAGTATACAGGAGTTTAATCATCAATACGTATGGTCTCATATTGCGTAATCTTTAAAATGGCCGTGAAAATAAAGGATTTATATGGAAATTCAGGTAATAGATTCAGGAAGATAAATAATCGCTGTAGTTTTCAATAAAAAAACACTTAACGCAATATGTAGGAGACCACGCGTATTAATGACAGGAGCCTCGTTAATGATTTTAAAAAGTCTGGTACTGAGTTTTCTGCCTTTGATTTGTACTCAGCATGCACCTTGTGCCATGCTTCAGACAACGGGTTTTGCGCCTTCGAGAAAATGGCAAGCGGTTAGTTTTTTTTCAAACTGGCAGTATATTTGGCGTCAATGAGATATGGGGTAGAAAACTTGTTTAAAATGGATAGAAAGAGCCATTTGGGCTTTTTAATTGTCATACATGTATCAGATGAGACTTAAGAAAAGTAATTCATATGTTCAAACTGATCTTTTCAGGACCCTGTTGCAATGCTCCTTCCCTTCACCCTGGGGGGTGGGGATGTTGCGTGACGACACAAAGCTAGTGAACGGTTTTGCGTGCTTAGGAGGATATATAGGAGACTACGTTTTCATACTTGACCTCTTGTTTGTCCAGACAATTTGTCCATCTTCTAGTGTGGAAACGGCCAATATCAAAAAAAAAAAACTGTAGCAGTGATGGGCATCCAAACACTTTTATTGTTTTGTCATTACGAAATGTTGCTGAACGCTATTTTGGATTTTTGTTGCGCTCTCTGAACGCTCTCTTGATACAGAACCGTCATTCATTGGTTGGATGGGAGGCCAGCTTTTTGAAATTGCCTGAACACCTGAATCCTGGAAAAAAGTCAATTTCATGCCCTGCTACCTAATACGCACTAGTACTGGGAAAAATTTTCATATGGTTATACGATACACTGTTCACAGTCATTTTTCGCAAGACCGCCAGGAACCGTGAGCGCTTACCGGTTCGGGTGGCCATCTTGGTTTCATATGTAAAAAAATGTACTGAGGGGGCAAACGTCGGGATTTATAGTGGTGAGGTAGGGAGGGAGGCTTCATACCAAATCATCCCTCGCCCCCTAAGTAGAATTGACACTCATCCAAGATGGCTGCCCGTAACGCAAAGTATTCGATCTCGACAATCTAACGGAAAAAATAGGAGAATGAGGACAGTCTAGTTATACAACGATCTCTACTTCATTGTCTATCAAAGCTGATACGTGAATTTGTTGGTGCTCCGCTAAAAAAGAATAGGGATTTTTCGACATTTTAAGTGGGATTAAAAGGTTATGAGATATTCAGGATAACACTGTGCTTCGTAGAAAACAACGAAGATGGATGGGTTTCCTGTGTTATCAACCACAGACTCGTACAAAATCTCCGGTCTGGAAGGGTTCTTTGGTGGTGGGACGATCATACCAGAGTTACCTGCACAATATTTCCCAACCAGGACCCTCGCAAGGTACATAAAGCGGCCCCCAATCTCACCCTTTGCATATCCAACTGAGTAAGATGCGTCTCTGGCAAAGTACAGACCGCGCCCATAGGCTGTTCCTGGAAGGAAAAGAAACAAACTTCAGTCACGAGTGACTATGAATGGTCTTACATATGAACTGTAACATAACTTTCTTTTGAAAACATAAAAAATAGCCCTCAACCTTGTTAGAACTGCCACTGTGCAACTCCCATTTTTTGCTTTTTTACCAGCAGCAGTTTTCCTTACTATTATAATAATAATTAATAATAATGATAAAGATCAAATTCTTAAAAACTTATACCTTATTATGATAACGGTATTACTAGTACTGTGGTACCGTCTACCATGACAAACGTGTTAATAAAAACCACATACATACTCTAAAAAGTAAAGACTAAAATAAAAACACCCTTTAAACAAAAATAGACCAAACATTTTTAGTCTCAACTTCTTTTTGCGACTACTTTTTGGGGCGTATATTAATGAGAAACTAGACTTGTTCCTCACACCCCTGCCCAAAGAAGCACTTACCGTGTACCCCACAAAAGTTTTTGTTGAACCCCTCTGTGTTTATTGCACATATATTCTTAGCGTCGGTTCCATGAAAAAGCTGTCGTTCGTTGTTTCCTCCATTATCTCTGTCTATTTTCTGCTTTTGTACCATGTACTGCTTGTAAAGATGAGGATTCTGAACTCGCACGATTTTCTGAATCTGCACTCCGCCACCGGTTGCTTGAAATTTGCTCATGATATTTTGGTACTCAGAGGAGCCTGGGTCGAGAGTCACAGCGTGTACTGTCATGTCAGGGTGTGGCATTGGAGCCCATGTGCTTGGAAAAGGTATTGCTATGATACAAAACAGTCGCAGTTTTTTTTTAGTTTTACTTTGCTGCTGAAAGAGTAAATTAGTATTAGCTAATTTAGAGTGCTTTAGATTAAAGGTATATTTCAAAATAAAGAATGAGAGTCATAACTGTCACGGGACATATCTCCCCGATTTTAAAGATATATGGAAAGTTAATGAAAGTTCGATAAATATCAGATCGAAAAGCGTTTTAGGTTACTTTTTAACCATTTATTAATAAGTATGAAATAAGATAATAATGCATTTACTAATGAACTTTTATCTTTAATAAGTGTGCTTTCCTGCATCATGCAAGTAATCAGATCATGTGCATCATTCTTTAGTTTGGCAATGCCCATCTGTACCCCCATGTACCTTCAAATCATTCTTTGTACAGTCTATGACTTTAGAAATGTACTGGCTACGTTAAGAATTTCTCCTTTCGTGTGTTCATAAAAAAATGAGGTTTTTGAGTGGGACACCTTGTCTCCTCTCTTGTCCTCCAAATGAGAATGACATTTTTAGTAATTAACTAAGGAAGTCAAGGTTTTGCGGCTCGTTTTTGTTGGCAAAGCTTTCCGTCTATTTATCTTGTTCTCCCATATGAATATGAGAGTTGTCCCGCTTTTTTTACTATATATATATTAACGAAGTTTGTACTTTTGAGTCTTAGCTTCAAAGATCCAAGTTAGTTTAAAGTAACTGTGCAAAAGTGTGTTTCTTTTACTGAACTTCACTTGGCTGCATGGTTAGTTTTCCTTTAGTGGTTATCCTGCTGCTGAACTGAAGAAAAGCTTTTCGAAGAAATTTTGGGTTACGAGTTATTCGTATGTTAATGAAATCGTAAGTGTATTATTAACCAGCATTGCTAAGTAGTAGGTTTCTTGGAGAGAGAGAAAGTGAACTACAGAAGAACAAGGTTTAGTTCAAGAACTTGAAAGTTGTGAAGTGAAATAGAAGACCTGAGAAGTTAAAGAGCGTCTTTCTGCTCTGTAATAAAGTAAAAAACATTTAAGCTTGTTTGTTGTGGAGAGTTCCTCGTTCCCATCGAGCGAATAATACCGCTTATCATAACTTCCAACGGCAAATCATATCTTTTGCAAGGTAATAAACAGGAATGTGTGTACTGAAGTGAAAGCTATTGTATGAAACATCTTGTACAGTGATTTATCCAAGCCATTCCCCAAGATGACGCAGACCCTAAATGATTTTATGGTGTCCATTCAGAATCTATGAACCTTTTTATTATTTCTTTCATATCCTGTCCGATTAATAAACACATTTCGCATATATAAAGGAACTAAATTGGTCCATGACTTAAGCCATATAGGTATGTGCCGCCCCAGAGGGTAAATGACATGTCACGAAGATGGTTTCAGTAATGTCCGTAATGATGGCTCTCAGTAGAAATTGTTTAACTACTTTGTCTAGGTTTTATAAATTTTAGTCATAATAAAGCTATCTCCAAACGTTAGAACCCTGAGTCTAAGAGTGACTGATCATTAAATAAGGCGGTTTTGTACACAATCGGTCATTCTAGCGTGAAAAAAGAACAAAGATTCAGTTACTTACCGTTACTATGCATTGCTTTAGTTGCCGGTGTCCGTAGTGAAATTTTATATGAACATGCAAGTGAAGGACGTGCTATGACATGAAAGAATAACCCATCTTGTCACTAATACAGAAAAGACCCCAAAACAAAAACCCTGAATATAGCAGACAGTACTTCCGGCCAACGTTTGAATTAAAATGTCCTTGACAGCCTAGTAAACTTTCAAAAGCACCAAAGTAATCTCACAAGGATAAGTACTTGGACGACAACTACCGACTGTTAAAAGTTCTTTGCTTCAGAAGTTAAGGTTGAGGAAAGACCATGAGCTTATCGCGGACTCTACCAATAGACTATAGTCACTGCTAAAGTGAAATTGGGCTATTAGAGCTGTACTGGCGAAATCCTGCAGCTAATATATCAAGCAAAACGTACCCGAAATTGATTTGATATCCTGATCTCATGACACCTTCTGCCCCCGATTAACACAGAAAAAAGGAAGAAAAATAAAGTTTTATATTGCGGAAATCGGCAGTTTCAAATTCACTTGAAATGTAAATTCTAGCAGTTTTCGCGGAACAAATTGCATTTGCTTCCGGCGTTCCCGGAAAATCGCGAGGAATTTGTAGTCTCACCAGAGGGCGACCCAGGGGGCGACCTAGGGGGCCCATTTCTAGAAAATTCCCAGTAAGTTTACGGGCCCGATAAGGCGCCCGGTAAGTCTCCGTAAACTTTTCCGGTGTTACTCGTAACTACCATTATTTTTGATCTCGGTATTTTTCCCGGTAACTTGCCCGGTACTGAACTTACGAGACGGGAATTCGCAAACAAAACAAAATAGCTGCTGAAGGCAAGCTTTTTGGTTTGGAAAGGAGACCACACGCTTTTCAAAAACTAGGTACCGAGTCTTGCCGACATGCCTGATTCAAAAATCTAGAGCGAATCAGGCTCTCACAATTTTTTTCTCACAAGTTTTTCTAGAGCTGAATAGAGCAGTTCAAGCCCATAGTTGCATCATGGGTAATCAGGGCAAGATGGAGTGAAATTCAAAGATTTGTATTGGCATTCAAAGCCCGCTAATTCTTCCTGAATTTATATATTTGATGCTTTCTCTTTAAAAAAAGTAACTTACGAGTTCGAAGAAGCCATACCTTAAATCTGGTGTGCAAAGGAAGTCCGTGATCAGTTTTTAGAAAACCTTGATATTCCCATACAGTTTCTCTAATTCGGCCGTATCAAAATTACAGAAAATGTTTGGAAAAATTTTAAAGGTTTTCTAAAAACTGATCACGGACTTCTTTGCACTCCAGATTTAAGGTGTAGTTTCTTTGAACTCGTAAGTTACTCTTTTCACATAAAAAGCATCAAATATATGAATTCGGGAAGAATTAGCTGGTTTTGAATTTCTTTACAAATATTTGAATTTTCCGCCATCTTGCCCTGATTACCCATGATGCAACTATGAGCGTGAACTCCTCTATTGGACGCAAAAGACCGTATCCAGTTTCAGAAAAAGAAACGGAAAATTGTTTTCTTGTTTTCATGCCCTCCGTACGAGCGGCCGTCCGTAAATCGCCTGGTGCAAAAACTGAAAATGAAAAAATCGTAAATCCGCAAACTTTGTCAGAATATAGGTCTTCGTAAACTTTATTTCAAGAAAAATATCTTTCAGTTTGATTGGAATTCATTTTACGCGTGCGGCGACCGGTTGGTTTGTCTTGGTTTCAGTCCAACTTCAGTAATTATTATAAGTTTAATCTTAAGGTAGCTATAGCCTACCAAAATGTTAACAGTTTAATGAGCAATGTTGACGAAGTCAAGGAGATGCTAAACAAGAATTTGTTTGATATCTTCTTAACGCTGAGACGAAAATCGACAGCACCGTTTCCTTGACGCTTCTTTCGCAGCAAGGATGTCGTATAGTTCGCAAGGAACGTAAAAAGGGCGCTGGTGGACTTAGGCGTACATCAAAGTAGGTCTGTCCGTATAGGACGTCTAAACTGGAACCAACTGATATAGGATCGATTTGCCTTGATGTGCAAGACGTACAACAAATGCCGATTTATTGTCTGTGCCTGCTACCGATCGCCAGGTAAATGCAAAGAACAAGACTTTCTAGCATCCATGCCACTGCAGCGGAAACCATGTAGAATTTAAGAAAGGAACCACTATTTCTTGGTGATTTTAACATGGATTTATGCAACAACATTGCTGAAGGACGAGCACCTAACAGCCCCTTGGTTGATTTTTTGTAAGCCTTTTTGCCTCGCGAAACAACACTCCTGAACCAACTTGTGTCACCTCAACAACAAAAAGCTTAATTGATGTTGCTTTAACTAGTAATCAGGAGTGATTTTCATTTTCTGGAACGTTACAGTTTCGCCTCAGTGATCACTACTTGATCTACGTAGTAACGAAGAACAAACTACCGCGCCCAAAGCCACGATTTGTTGAATATCGTAGCCATATAAACGTTTTGACCAAGAATTGCTTTTGTCTGATCTCAAAGAGGTTCCCTGGGTAACTGCTTTTATTTATGATGCTGCAGACGGTGCGTGGGCTCATTGCATTTCCTTATACAAGAATATTCTCGATAAACACGCCCCGATAAAGAAAAAATGGCTACGTGGTGACCAACTGCCGTCGATTTTGCCTGAAATTCAATAACGAGAAATATGACTACGAAACAGAATGTTTAAGCACCCAAGAAGACATCCTTCAACTGAAACGTGGGAATGCTGTAAAAGACAGCGTAACAAAGTCAGTTCTCTCAAATGCAAAGGTGTCAAGCAGTTTTGCGCATACGCAGCTACTGCATCAAAGAACCCACGGCATTCTGACGGAAAATGAAACCACTCCTTCCAAGCTCACGGTCAAACACACAAAGTAGTATAAATAATTCTTGTCGAGAATGGCTGTGTTATTTCCAATCCCAGTGAACTGGCAGAAATTTTTAATGATAACTTCTCAAATATGGTTCAAGCAGTTCAACTCAGTGCTGAATCCGCAGAATTTTACTACCCACCCAAGTTTTAAACTCATAGCAGACAGAGACACACTGGTCAACTTCAACTTCGTGCCTGTCAGTTCCAGCTACTTGAGTACTATACTACACAACCCACATCCTAAGAAGGCTGTTTGGGTAGATGGTATCTCTTCCCGCTTGCTTTGCCTCTCTGCCCCAGTATAGTGAACGAAATTACCAAGTTAATCAACTTTTTTATCAACAGTCAATCCTGGCCACAAGAGTGGAAATGCAGTATCGTGAACCCAGTTTTTAAGAAAGACGAGGACACAAACAAAGCGAACTATCGTCCCATCTCAATTTTGAGTGCTTTGTCCAACGCCTTTCAAACTTCATCTGTCGTCGAATATGTCAGGAGCTTTAATGCACCATTCTTTCTATTCTGCTTTCCTGAAAATGTCCGAGGACTGGAGGAAATCTCTAGACAAAAGGGAAGCGGTTGTTGCAGTTGCCATGGACTTAGCAAAGCATTTGACTCAATTGATCACAGTCTACTGCTAGCTAAACTTGGCGCATATGGTCTCTCTTTTACATTTTTCAAGGACTGAAGATGTATTTAGTCATCTGTAATGACCCCAAGGAAAATTTCTCATGGGAGCCCGAGAAAATAAATATCAAATTTCACAAGAATTGTGAAAACACAGGTAAAATTCTGAATGTAATTTTGTGAAATTCTGAGATCTATCATAAGTTATAGTAAAACTATCTCACATCAAGAACTACTTGGGATTGTATGAAGTTCGCCTTTGTTACTTTATAGCGGGGCTCCCGCGCGCGCGAAGCGCGCGTGGGACAGAGCCCCATACCCATGGAATATGGTCAACCTCTTTTCGTTTGGTTGTCACGTGATTGACCGAGCGTACGTACGTACGTACGTACGTACGTACGCGTCTACAGATTGTATGGGTGGGGTAGGGGAGACTATCAAAAGGAAGGGAGGGGTGTCTCAGGCGTGTCTTGGCAAGTCCACATCTTTAATATAGGACATTAACAATATGGTCAATTGACAGCTGTCCAAACAGGATAGCCACTGACCAGTATCCCATGACCATATCGCGGGCTCATGTGTCAACTCATCGAGGTGACGTGATTTATTTGGAAGCTGTCCGCTGACCAGTTAACTGTTTTACTAGATCGCGAACAACGTTCAATCTCATACTTTTACTAGTTTGGGAGCACAGGAAAACTGATAATGCACACATATTGGACATCAATGTTTTGATCAATTGACAGCTGTCAAAACAGAGTACCCGCTGACCAGTATCACTTGACCGTATCGCGGGCTCAGGTGTCGACCCGTCGAGGTCAAGTATTTTTTGAAGTTATCCGCTGACAAGTAAACTAGTTTTCAAGTGATCGCAGGCTCAAGTTCAATTTTTTTTCTTAATTCATATGAAATATGTTGTGTTTATGTGCTGCACAATTAAAATTTTGATTGCAAACTGACCTCGGACGTGAAAATTCAGCCAGCTGTTACAGGCAGGGAAGACAGTTGCTTTTGTTTTTTCTCACAATGGTCACGCGTTGGTCACGCTCTACGTCCAATTTTTATGCTCTGATTGGTCAAAATTTGACAGGTGAGTTCATGCGCAAAATTTATGCAGCATCTTGAATCTTGTTTACTTTACAGTCAAACCAGGTCAAGCGTTCCCGTCGCTAACAGACTAATGAATTCATTAATGGAAAAATGATTTCGTTTGTTGATTCAATAATCCATTCATAAAATGAATAATCCAACGGTCAAATTGTACCTCGATTCAATAATCAAATGTTGATTTGGTTTATGAACAAAATCTACCTGTTCTTTATTCTTGTCTGTTGTGTTCAATCGTATTTGCTTCCCTTTTCCTGCCGTTTACGATTGCGTTTTTCATTGCCTTTAAT